ACACTGCTGTGTTTTCTCTTATAACCACTAGTATCATGCTACTTCACACCCTCAATAAAGAACAGTTCCAATCCTACCATTTTCCTGACTGAAAACATTTATTGGCTTCTCAGTATTTAGACAATAATTGAAAACTCTTTAGCCTGTAATATTAAGCTGTAGTTTCAGTATAATCTATCTGGCTTTATTTTTAATATACTCTACTCTCCACATAAGGAGCTGTGGTAGCTCTGTGGTTTAAGGCATTGGGCTACTAAACAAAAGGTTGGTGGTTTGAACCCACCAACCATTCTGTGGGAGAAGGACGAAGCAGTCTGCTTCCATAAAGATTTACAGCCTTGGAAACCCTATGGGGTTTGCTATGAGTCTACTCAATGGCAGTGGGTTTTTATCCTCTCTATATACAGGAGCTCTGGTGGTATAGTGGTTAAAGCATTTGGCTGCTAATCAAAAGGTTGGTGGTTCAAACCCACCAGCCACTCTGAGGGAGAGAAATGAGGCAATCTGTTTCAGTAAATATTCACAGCTTTGGAAACCCTATGGGGCAGTTCTACAGTTCTTACAGGCTCCCTATAAGTTGGAATTAATTCTGTGGCAGTGGGATTTGGGTCCTTGTTTTTTATTGTCCATATATGTGGGCCAAATCAAAGGTAGCTAAGAACAGTAGCACTCTCTGTATACCATATTCTCCAGTTGCATGAAACTACCACAATTCCTCAAAGCTGCTCAGTGTTTTGTTGGCTTCATTCACTAGAGCCAATGGAATGGAACATTCACTAAAAAGTATATGGCTGCATCTTGACTTCCGGTAAGATGGTGGAATAGGCAGAGAAGCTACACGTACACTCTTCAAGAAAGAAAAGAGAAACCAATTGACACAGATACAGAAGATAATCCTGGAGCCCTGAACTTTGAAAGGAAAGATATAGAAGTGGATTAAACACCAACTAGAAGAACCTGAATGAAAACCGTGAATAAGGAGACAAAAGGAGCTGCAGACTGTCAGCTATCCTGATGGCATGGACAGTTTGAATATTTCCAAGTGGTGTCAGGGCCTGAGAATTAACCTAAAAATTGTCTGTGTTAGCCAAAGTTTGCATGGACAACTGCACTGGTGGCTGATGACTAAAAAGGGAAACAGCAAAGTAGGAAACAAACTGAGCTGTGGACTTTTGGCTGTCTGGAGAGTGCAACCATTTTGAATGTTCACAAGTAGTTCAACCATTTTGCATATTTAAAGTGAAAGCATTCTTGTTCAGATTCCAGGGACCTAAGAATAGGCTCTGCTTGTCAAGGACAGCATGGACATACAGGAGGCTGATGACGGGAAAGATGTGATATTCCCCTTGTTACTCTTATACCCCACACCCTATTGGTGAATGGAGGTGTGGCAATCCGTCACCTCCACCCACCTTCTGGGCCAGCAGGTATTCTATCTCAGTCTGTGTGCTCTGAGGGAGCCTGGGTGCCCTGCCCTACCCTCCCTCAGATTTGTTAATTTTTCTTTTTTTTTTTTCTTTCTTTTTACTTTTATTCTCTCTTTTTCCCTTTCCAGGTTCCTGTTTTGGGCTTTTTTCTCTCCCATTTTCCTGGTTCCCATTTTTTCTTTCTTATGGTTCTTCCCATCCCTTGTTTTCTTTTTGCATTGTTTCCATTTTCATCCTCATTATCTTCTTACTCTAGCTCTTTTCTCTTATTCCTGCCTCCCCAGATATTGTGGGGTTTTTCCCCCCTCTTTTACTATTTATATTTCTTTGGTCTTCTTAAAGTATTTCTTTAAATATTTTCTCTCATTTATTGCCTCTCCTCTTTTTTTTTTTTTTTTCTTTCTCTTTTTGGTGATTGTTCTTGTGTGGTTTTTTTTGTCTTCATTTTTACTTTCTTGGTGTTTTTTTCAATTGTTATTTTTGCCTGATGAAATGGAAGACAGGAGCTCTGGTAGCATAGTGCCTAAGGCACTTGACTGCTTATCAGAAGGCTTGCGGTTCAAACCCAACAGCCACTCCTCAGAAGGATGGTTGGGCAATCTACTTCCATAGTGATACCACTTCAGAAACCCAAGGAGGGGTCGCTATGAGTTGGGTCCTACTCCATGGCACATAACAACAAGTGGAAGACAGAAACCATCCTCATACAACCCAACTATAAATGCACCTCCTGCAGCCCCACCTACTGAGTGCTGAGTGAGGGCCACCACTTGGTTCTGCACCAACTGTCCAATAATACGCAACAGCCAATACCACCTGACTCACCTTTAACCGTTCTTCACAAACAGCTAACAGAGATCTGTGTATCCACTCTCATTCTTTATCACATGCACCAGGAGACAGTGATGAGTGCATAGGTGCTGATAACTAGTGAATAGAGGAACAAAGTACCCTGCTTTCTAGGATACATCCAAACAAAACAAAGAAAACAAACATCTTGGGTGAATCACTCCAACATAAAATCACCAATTAAATATAAATACAACAATGTCACAATGTCTCAGAGACAACAGACCATCACAATCCACACAGAGAAGCAAGATAAAGCAGTAGAAATAAGGGACCAGGATACAGACCCATAACACATACCCAAGAAAGAAGCAGCACTGGAACTCCCTGATATAATAATAGAATTCAAAATAATTATATTTAGGTACCTTCAACAGACTGAGAGGCAGATCAAGGAAAACACTGAAAAAATTAAGGAAAACACAGACAGACCCTAGAACAATTTTGGAAGACAATACAAGAACAAAATGACAAAATCAATGAAAATTAGAAATGACACAAAATCTACAGATAGAAATCCAGAAGATTAATACTAAATTTTCAGAAATAGATACCACATTGGAAGGGCAAAGGAATAGAATCAAATCAATGAAAGATGGAATTAGTGAGATTGAAGACAAATACCGGAATACTTCTTTGGAAAGGGATCAATCAGAAAAAAAAAAACAACAAAATGAAGAAAGCCTAAGATTCACATGGGATACCATCAAAAGAAATAACGTATGTGTAATTGGAATTCCAGAATAGGAAGAGATAAATAAAATCATAGAGAAAATTGTCAAAGATTTGCTGGAAGAGAATTTCCCTGATATGATGGAAAACAAGAATATATCCATTCAAGAAGTCCAAAGAACCCCAAACAGGATAGACCCCAAAAGAAAATCACCAAGGCATATCATCACCAAAACCAAAGACAAAGAAAGAATCCTGAAAGCAGCATGGGAAAAACGAAAAGTTACCTACAAAGGGCAACCAATAAGACTAAGTTCTGATTTCTTCACAGAAACCATGCAGGCGAGAAGGCAATGGGATTGTATGTACATAAAGTATATGGATGCATCTAAAAAATATTTACTATATAAACAAGGAAAGTAACATCTAACAGAAATGAAATAGATCAAAATTGTTGTTGTTGTTGTTGTTTGCCGTCGAGTTGGCCCCGACTCATAGTGACCCCTCCTTGGGTTTCCGAGGCAGTATCACTACGGAAGTAGGATTGCCCAACCTTCCTTAGTAGATAGCAATAATAATATATAAGTCAGAATAATTTTTAAAGATGAGAATAAAGATATTGATGAATGTTTGACTCTAAGAATGCATGTTAAAATGCCTAGTATAGCCACTAACATAAGAGACTTGGAAAATTAATGTACAGATAAGACATGAGGGGAGAACTGAATCAAAAAACAAGCAAACAAATATCCAAAAGATGGAAAGAAAGAAGGGGAAAGATGAAACTAAAAAATAGAGGACAAATAAGATATAATAAGATGGTCAAAATAAATCTAATTATATCCATAATAAAAATTGATGTAAGTAGACCAAAGTCTATAGTTAAAAGATAAAGATCTTATCAATGGTTTTTGTTGTTGTTATAATTCAGCTGTCTGCTGATTTATAAGAGAGACATTAAGTATAAGGAGACAAAAGGATTAAAAGTCAGAGATTGGAAAAAGATGTGTCTTAATAAACACTACCTTTACTTTGGCCTACAGAGTTCTGAGGATGGAATAGACCACTGTGCACAAAGAGTCCAGGGGCCCAATGGGAGGAAAGGGCCTGAGGACCCTATCTCATTTCCTCTAGATATAAACTTAGAGGCCACCTGCTGTCATCTACTGGGATTGCTTTGATTAAGCACCACTGATAAGAAAGGCAACAAAGCATCTAAAAAGAAGCTCCCCCTAAGGCAATGGGAGGTCCTGGGTTGGTGGTCTAAACTTAACACAAAACCAAAAAAACCAAACTCACTGCTGTCAAGTCAGATCCGACTCATAGCGACCCCTCATTAGGTTTCAGAGGTGGTATCACTACTGGAGTAGATCGCCCAATCTTCCCTCCAAGGAGTGGCTGGTGGGTTTGAACTGCCAGCCTTCTGGTTAGCAGTCAAATGCCTCAGGCACTAGGCTACCTAAGCTCCTAAACTTAACACAGGGACTAAGGTTTCTTCCACAGAGGGTGATTCTGGTGGAGGTTGTGTCTGAGAACATTTGCTTCCCTGAACTAGCTAACCTGGTAGTTTTATGTTTTAGGATCAAGAGTTGAGCAGATGAGGGTGACTAATAGAGCTATAACCCTGTAATCTTGAGTAAGAAAACACAGATGTCCACAGAGGGTGAACTGATTGATTAAATTTACCCATTTCTTTTCTCCACTGTGCTTTGAATTATAACTATTCTGGGCTGAGACTCTTGGACAATGAGAGGGGATGGAGGGAAAAGCCTAAGAGGGAGAACCTGAACTTCCTGCCAATAGAAGTATGTGGAGTCTTTGGGCAATGAATTTATATTGTGAATATGCCAAATGGATCATATGGGTTACACTTTAAAAAATGATCAACCATATTTCACTCCCTCCAAACCTATGATGATGGCTTTCTTTGATTTAGAAATTGAGAAAACAATAAGGAAGAATCAAAGGAGACAGGCAAAGGAAAGCAAGGAATTTCAGGCAAAGAACACAAGAGCAGGCACTAAGAGCTAGCGTACAGTCCACTTTACTCACTTGGCTGGTGTGCGTTCCAGTGTGTGTACCTCACCGGCTCAGGCTTCTGCCTTGCCACCTTCCAAGTGTATTCTCCCGTATCATTCTGGTCTTGAAGAGCTATCCAAAAAGAACTGTCCTTCGTTTTTACCACACTGCTGATCAAACTGGTAATAAAAGCTTGTTCAAACCTTAACGAGGGAAATAGGAAATGGTTATATTAAGTCACTAGGTAATAAATAATGTCATTAAAACATAATGAGGTACACAGAATGACACCAGAGTAAGCATTTCTTGTTAATTTTTTAGAACACAGAACAGGAAAATACTTGAAGATCCTGAACATTACTGGTAAATGCTAAATGTCAGTATGTTTCCCAGAAACACATGAGTAAGGAGAATTTGACTCTGACAAGACTTAATTCTTTCGAGGGAGAGTCCAGCTCCAGTTCACATTGTCAGAAATCCATTTATTGGTGCAACAAGTTCTCTATTTTGTAATTAGGCTGGATGAATTACCATAGGGGGAGTGACGTAGGGGAGTGGGCAAAGGGCAGAAAGAAGGAAGACGATTATGTTTTTTGAATTAGAGTTTAGGAGGCTGAGGTTCCACTTCTGACCCTTACTACTAGTTCTGAAACCTTCAGCAAACCACTCAATCTTTCTGATCCTTGTCAGATGGGCAGAATAACATCTGACATCTCCAACCCCAAATGAACCATTCCTGTGATGCATACTAGGAAAAAGACAAAAGGGCCACTGAGGTTTGGTAATAAGAGTAACAGTGAGAGCAAGAGGTTCATGGGTGGTGCAAACATTTTGTGTTAGACTATGAACCTAAAGGTTGGCAGTTCAAACTCACCCAGTGCCACCATGAAAGAAAGGCTAGAGATACGCTTTTGTAGAGATTACAGCCAAGAAAATCAGCAGTTGTGCTCCAAAATGCATGTGCTTACCAGGAGTCAGAACTGACTCTATGGCAATGGATTTTAGTTTTTTGATTTGAAACACAGAGTTTACATATACTCACTCACCACATGTGACTTGTGAGAAAGGAACAGGGATCAGAATAGTGATTTTATGTCTCCCAAGTCAGTTTGTTCACAGATACCTGGAGTCCTTGGCTTAATTAAATGTGATCAAATGTGCATTTTTACTGTAGATAAATTTAGCATCTTAGCAACTAATATAAGGAATTATACTCACAATATTTTTCCCAAACATCTGAACGAACTAGTGTTCAATTATTGATGCCAATGGTCCCTTTCCAACATGAATACATCAAAAGCAGAGTTTTGAAAACTTGTGTATCTGCTTCCATATGAATATCTAACGTGAAAACTTGAATATTAAAAATGTTTTACTTGCATTGAACTTTCAAAGTCAGTTTGAAATGATCTAGAGAAGTTTGTTTCAAAAACATGTAAAATTTGGAAGAAACAAATTGTAAGGAACAGTAACTCTTGCCAGACCTGCTGAGTCAATGGAAAAGACAGGCCTGATGAAATTACCCAGGAAACCTAAAAAGAAAGCAAATTAGACATTTTAATCCAATTTTGGATTTTTTCTCATTACCATGAAGCTTTAATTTAAAAAAGAAAGAAAGCAATGGGGTCATTTAAGAATAGAGGAGTCTCAGAGGAAAAAGGGAAGAAAAAGAGGAAAGAACAAAAATGAAGTGAATTTTCTGAATTGCCTTATGAATGCCATGAACATCACTAGCAACATTTAGTGATCTTAGTTGGGCATCCATGATACTCACCTTTGTAGAGCATATGGATTTTCATCTTGCTTTAGTAAATATTTTCTGCAAATACTCTATTAGTAATTTAAGTAGCGCACATTTGAAATAAGTTCTTTTTTTTTAACCAGACCATGGTGGTAAAACCCTATGTAAATGTGCTTCAAAAAGAAAGTATATAAAACTAAATATTGCCTGGATCCTGTTGTAGGTTTCCTTTCATTTCCATTGGTTCCTGCTATTACAACCTATGACCTACTTCTCCCTCTCCCCTCGGCTAAGTAGCGTTATTATCATTCACATCTGCTGGCTGAAACGGATGCTAGGTGGCCAGTGAGGCACTGCATGGTGGGTGCTACGGCTGGGACCACTAATTACTGTGCTGGTCCTAAGCACAGAGGACAGTGCTGGTTCTTCCCTCACCCTCATATCCATACCATCTATTTTTTGCAGGCACAGACTCCATGTACTTTTTCATTTAAACTTTTTTTTTTTTTTTTTCAATATACTACTATTTTATGTACACCCACTGTGGAGTCAATTCCAATTTATGGCAACCCCATCTGTTTCAGAGTAGAACTGTTCTCCATAGTGTTTTTGATGGGTATAAGCTTATGGAAGTAGATTGCCAGGGCTTTTTTTCTGTGGTGCCACTAGGTAGGTTCAAACCATCAACCTTTCCATTGCTAGCGAAGCTCAAACCATTTACACCACCCAGGGACTTCTACTCATACCTTCTAAATTTATCAGACAACGGAAGGAAATGATGTGAACTTGACCTCTGGTATCATTATTCATTACAACTGTTACTCTTGTCCCCTATTGGTTTTAGATTTATTTAGTTCCATTCTGATTTGCTATATTTATCCATTTGTTGTTGTTGTTATGTGCCATTGAGTCGGGCCCGACTCATAGCGACCCCTCCTTGGGTTTCCAAGGCGGTATCACAATAGAAGTTGCCCAACCTTCCTTCCAAGGAGTGGCTGGTGGGTTTGAACCACCAGCCTTCTGGTTAACAGTTAAGTGCCTTAGGCACTATGCTACCAGAGCTCCTTATTTATCCATTTATCATTGCTTAAAACAAAAGACATCTGCTTTATGAATTGGCAAGTATATTTTTCTCCCTAAATTTAATTTGTTGTTGTTTTTGAGAATATGCACAGCAAAATATCCACCAATTCAACAGTTTCTACATGTATGATTTAGTAACATTGATCGTATTTTTTGACTTGTCGATAAGTATATTTTTTAAGTTGCATATAATACTCAGACACTCAATACAAATCCTTTTAATCAAAATTAGACTCTAGTTTCTCAATCCAGTTTAGAAGATGGCATTGTTATGAAAAAAATTCAGCAAATGTGTCTTTCTTCTAAACCACATGTTGAGAAAATAAGCTTTGATAATACCATACTGAGTATCTGTTTCCAACTGATAAACAAGGGAACATTTTACATTCTTTTTATATTCTTTACTACTTACTATTTGGTGGTACAGTGCCTAAGGCATTTGACTGCTAACAGAAGGTTGGCAGTTCAAACCCACTAGCCACTCTGCAGAAGGAAGACTGGACTATCTACTTCCATAAAGATTTACCACTTTGGAAACCCAAAGGGGGTTGCTATGAGTTGGAGTTGACTTGATGGCAGTGAGTTTGGTTTGGTCTATCTAGTTTCAAACACTAAAAGGATTATGGAAACTCTGGTTTATAGTAATAGAGACCATTTTATAGTCTTTTCTGATCCCTATCCAGTGGTGCCACAGAAGAAAGGTGTGGTGATCTACCTCCATAAGAATATAGCCATTGAAAACCTCATAGAGTTCAGTTCTACTCTGAAACACAGGCTGTTGAGTTAGAATCGACTCAGTGGCCACAGGTTTTTTGTTTTGTTTTGTTTTCAGTTCTAGGAATTATTCACTTGAGATTATTTTGGAGTTTTATAATATTTGGCCTTTTGTTTGGTTCACTGAAGATTTTTTAATTCAAATGTTATAATTTATGGAATAAAAAATAACCATATGTATATGTTTTTATTATTTGAACAAAAATATCTCTAATTCAGTAAACAGTGTTACTTTTGAAAAAACAAATGATAATTTTGTTTTTGCTTATGTGTACCTATTTATAAGATCAAATTTTATAGAGGAATAATTCTTAGAATCAGAATTTCATTATTCTTAGATAATTTCTTGTTGTTGTTATGTGCCGTCGAGTCGGCCCCGACTCATAGCGACCCCTCCTTGGGTTTCCGAGGCAGTATCACTACGGAAGTAGGATTGCCCAACCTTC